TGTAGATTGTTAGCACGGACGATGGGAGACGGGTCGAGGTTTGATAGGGGTCGTATGAATAAGCAAGTATAACATCTGGAGCGGAGCCCAATGTGCGTCTCCGGGAACTCGAGTGTTATCTAAGATAGAGCTGCTCGCTATCTTCTCTGTTCGGCACTTACTGCGAGTCCTGGGTCGTGTGCACAATTGGGTCGCTCGCCAGCTTAAGTACGTTTCCACAGGTGTGTTTAGTTGATTGCATTGGTTTATGTCACAGACGTAAGTTTTTTAGTCTACTTACTTTGATAACTATACAAAATTGTAGAGCTTATGCTTGAAAGAGTCGTAATGGAAATAGAGCATTGTTCCATAGGTAAAGCCCCAAAATAAAGAAAGAATGAATGAATGAATGAATGAAAAAGGAATTCATAATGTATCACTCGCAAAACAATCCCATGCCGGTTGAAAATAGCGGCTTCTAGTTGACAATCTAGTCAGCCTAATTACTGCATGAGGTCCTCGCTAGCAATACTCGACTGAGACTATAGCCCTCTTGGCGTCGGGTAGATCATTGACAGTGGCTGCTAAACTCCAATAGCACACTAACTCTGTGTATTCCCTGGAATCGAGCATCATCCGCTCCGTTTCCTGCCCTCCTTCCTTCCCCCATATTTTTTTTTCAAGAAAATACAGACCATCAGAGAGCACAGCATGGAGACAAATCTTCCACAAGATCTGAAGCATCCTCGTAAATGGCCTCCGTCCTCACCAGTACATTCGGTCCTCCTCTTGGATGGATGAATAGTTCCGCTAACCTATGGCCAAGGTGGCTTCATTAATCTTGTGGGAGCAGTATCCTCTCTATGGTGATACCCTAACTGACTCGCCAATGTTCGCGATAGCGGGTCTTATACCACGGCACGACGGGGATGGCAGAACCACTCCTAAATTGCGTGACCGGGCGGCGACGTGCATTGTACAGTACTAGAAAAGGGGTGTTGCCGTCATCTTTGCCTGGGTTGGCATCAGCACGGGGGCCCTCAAGGGGGAGCTCCACCTCGCCACTCACGGCACCTGGCCTCCATATGCAGCGGCGTGTATCCGGTCCTGTTTGGCTGGTTTATTTCGGCGCCCTCAACCACCGATGAGGGACGGACTACGTTTTCACCCCCTGTGGGGGCTGCTGGTGTAATGGCCATCCCCGGATTTTGTCTGGACTATTTACATCAATTCTCCCCGTCCTCTATCAGGAGGCACATTATTTTCTTCATTACACCAAGGGCTCATTTTTATCACCAGCGGCCAGTGGATCTTCTGGAAGATGCTGTACAGGGGTCTCACCCCCCCTATCAATTGCCGCACACGAATCTAGACGTGTATATCAACGAGCTCGGCTTCTCGATCAATGTCCATACCATTATTCGGCAAAGCCAGCACCAGGTCTTCATGTGCCACGTTATCGCGAGGTGTACGGCTTTAGGGATTTTGTGAGGGAGAGGCTGGTCAACCCTTGATTGGTACTGCACTCCAACATAGTGGTGGGTGCCCTCTCGCCCCAGGTCGGTGTTATATCATGGGGTATTGGCTCCACGCGGGGAAATCCACCATTACTAGTCCTGCATTCACGGGCTATCTGATCGTGACTTTGCCTTGGCAGCGGGCACTAAAGTATGATATAACTCTGCCCTGCCGTGTTCCCTGAAAAAGGATCCCAGAGCACTCCCTTGATACAAGCCCTGCAGACCGGCGGCTGTTCTTAGTAGGGAACTTATGTCCGGCGGAGGCATGTTGTCAGATAATCCAAGGATCAGCTCGTTTGGTAAACTGAGGGGCGGAGGGGCATGGTGAATTCTTGCCTGATTGATGTTTGAAATGTTGATAGAAGTGATGGGTGGATTACGGCATCCTTGTGTCGTGAGGGTTGTTTTTACATCAGAGTTATTTAGAATATCGTAGGGCTTGATCGGGACTTGATGCATTGCTAAGGAGAGCAACATACCCCTTAGATCGTGAGTCTGCCCCTTGTTGCCAAGCAATGAGGATGTCTGGCACCACGAAATTCTGAGTGCGATATCTTTGCTTCAAACCATAGATTCTGGAGAATCACACGCCAACGTTATGACAAAAACCTTTGCATGTACGATAGAAGATTCACCTGTTCAATCCTACGACCTAAATCTCGGTTCTGACAAAAAGTTCACAATTTGTCACTCGGGAATAGGAAGAATAACCTGCCGGATGGTTATGTGATACTGTATGTTCAGCTCGGCGCATCGAAGGTATCCCACAGTATTCAAGCGAGCTTTCCACAAGCACAAGTGTAGCTCCCCCCTAGCGCGCATCATGTCAAGAAAAATATGTATGATATAAGAGATAAACGCATTTTTTTAATTTTTTAATTTTTTACCGCGCGTGGTCCTAACTTAGGTGTTTCCTCCACTTTAAATTCAGTGAAAAACATATCTCCTCGCTCTACTTTGTATCATACTATCCTCCTCCCTTCCACCTCTTCCCCCTCCGTTTCCCCAAGGAGAGGAAGATTTCATTTACTTGGCATAGAACTCCAGCGCACCGCCATCCACATGCCTATTCCAGCCTCGAGATATGTACGACAGGACAAAGTAAGGAAAAATTCCCACCATACTGGTACTGTACAGTACGGTACTCTCTCGTCGGGGACGACCGGGACATATCCGCCCCCACCCCTTCCTCCTCCTCCTCCTCCTCCAGGTATGTACAGCCTCTCATCAGAAGAAGCGTTTCGTGAAACGTACCCCTCCCTACTTACTAAGCCGTCTCACAAAACTTTGAAAAAGCTAGCACATGACGTTGATCGTGGATCCCGAATGCTTTTTTTTTTCCTCAATAATACTCCATCGTAGTACTCGAGTTGCAGACGGACAATTCATTATTCTCTCTTTTCCCTTCTTTTCTGGGCCCCATCTTAAAGTCCAATTTCTCGCAATTTGTTTGGTTGGTTGGTGGGCAGAGCTGAGTGTGCAGTGCGGTACGCCAGCCAGTTCGGACGATTCCGGGCATGATATATGATATGATATGATATATTTGATTGGGTCTCGCTGGGTCGGTTTGCCAAATATGAAATCTGGAAGTCGAACACCCATGGGTCCCCGCGAGAAGAGAAGGAAGACTCCGGAAACATTCTGGGTCGGGGAGGAGATGCTCTGCTTGACCATGCGAAATCTTTGGGCTCTTCTATTTTCCTGATGGAGCGGATGATATGCCTACTGTCGTGAAAACTGTGCCGGGCTAGATGTAAAAGCTGAAGAAGAAAAATGAGGCAGAAAAGGGCGATATGGACTTAGAGTTGAGCAGGAACGTAGGGGGGCAGAGTATATCTCTATATTATACCGTAAGTGATGCGGAGGAATATGAAGTAGATATCATACATCGACCGCTAAAAGTCCTAATTAATACTTCCCACAAAATACGAGTTAAGGTATCATAAAACTTCAACCTTTGGAGTCTTTCAAATAACCGGAGCTGCCTCCTTCCTTTTCCTCTCTCTCTCTACTATTCCAGATGCCCTTCTGTCTCGGGTGAAATCCGCAAGGTATTGTCACCCGATATGGCGGAGCGCAGGTGTATTGCTGCTTGTTGATTTGTGAATACTTGATCACTGATTATTGATTGATTGATTGATTAATTTATTGTCGGCAACCCACTCACCCAGGCCCCCCCCATTGTGGCATCGTGATTAGACAGGTCTCAGATCGCGAGCACTTTTGACGAGGGGTTATATGTTACAATCAGAGCAGTGAGTGAGTGAGTAAACCCTTCCGAATGCTTACCCCGCGACCATGAGAGCTCTACTTAGATAGTGAAACAGTTGTCCTCCTCCTCCTCCGTCAACACAGACAGACAAACCATCAACCCATCGGCAGTAGCCAACGCTCACATTTACCGGAACCGACCATCAAGTTCTGCTACGTACCGTAGCAAAGCGTGAGTCACGAAGCGCGAGGAAGGAAGGGTTTACCCGAACACTTTCCCAGTCTCGTTATCGTACGGGACATTAAATTTATATCCGTCGTTTGTTTGTGCGTATGTCCGCGCCTCATATTACGGATCTTGGACGACCCGCAACATGAATTACCATCTACCGGCAATGTACGAGTGCCATTCGAAAGCATCGCTGGTGCCGCTACATGCAAGATTGCAAAAGCACGAAACTATGACACAGCGCTATACGGAGCCAAGTAGGAGGAGTGGGGGGGGGGGCGGTTAGTCCACCGGAACGCGCCGGAACGCAAGGCGTGTGTCCGTAAACATACGTACTGTATCATGCCATGGTTAACCGCGAGGTGAGGCGAGCAGGGGCCTGGGAAGTGAAGGCTTCGTAGCGGGGGTGGCACTGCGGAGATGGGCATGCCACCGGTACCATAGGATTGTATCCTACCGTATCGTATCGTACACAAGATGGCTTCCCATAGAGCTTCAAGAACCGACCTGCATTGCTACGAGTATTGTGGCGTACAGTACAAAGATGGCTTACCCTAGCACAAACTCCCGGACGGGCAGGTAGAGTTTGGAGGCTCCTTTAGAGGCCACGTGCTGTAATCGCCCTTCGTCCGGTTCGATTGAGGCCGGATGGATGGGTTGAGAGCCGGGGCGATGCGACCGTCAATGGATAAGGTGACGGATGTTGGTTTCGTTGCGCATTGCAGGCACCCCCTGAGCAGTGCCTGAGACGTTCGTTCGTTGCAGATATGGCACTAGAGGGAGGTGGAGGGGGCGGTGGTAGGCAAAGTCTTTCCCCCACTGTTGATCTATTATACTGGGTTGTTTGGAAGCGGGGTACGGTACTAGTATGTGGGTTATTGTCACGGCGCGGATTGTAATGGTACAGTAGGGGAACGGCCATGCTTTTCTCCCCCGTGCTCGGTGGGTGACCGTTGGCTCCTATCATGGTATAATACTAACACTCACCCCCCCCCCCCCCTTCTCACCGTGTATGATGTAATAAAAACACCAAACGCCAAATCACAGCTCGATTATCAAGTAAGCATCGGAAAAGGCGTTTGTTCTCCCACCATCCCTTAGCCATCCTCCACGGAACCGCCGCCTAGTTAACCTTCCCGAGTGACACCCCATGAACCCGTTAACCCCGTTAATCCCATTAATCCCATTATTTTCCAACAATGTCATGTATGCGCACTGTAAATCCCATCCAATCCGCCCCGTGTAATAAACATCGTAAACCATGTAGCAAAAAAAGAGGAAATGGTAAAATTACAAAGCGAACGCTATCTATCCCTATGTGCAAAATCCCCCTTTTGTTCAGAAATGACTTCGAACCGCATCTCTCCCATCCTAAACATCAAGACCGTGGTGCTTTTGGTGCATGTACACGACACAAGTATATCTATCAGTAAGATCTATGTTAGCCCACAAACTGTTAAAAAGGGGAGGGGGAGCGGGGATCACGTACCCAGAGCAACACGCAGCCTCCATACTATGAAGACAATACGGACACCTGGTAGCGCCACCATTCTCAACCATGGCCCTATACATTATGCTCGGAAGGTCGTGCCAGTATTTGCATCTACAACAGATAACGAATAACTTGGCAATCGGTTTCGATGGTGCGGGCGGCCCCGCCGCAGGGCTGCCGTTTCCAGCCGGGGCCCCGGAGTTCTTTGGTTGTCCGAGGTAGTCTGATGGCGGGGGGTATTGCGAGTTCGAGTAGTGTCTCGAGGAGCTCTTTGAGGACTCTTGAACGCGCTTGCCGTCTACTTCCTTGCCTTTGCCTTTCTGCGCGGATGCTGGCGGTGCGGGGGCCAAGGGGGAGGAGGGGGCGGAAGAGGAATCAATCTCGTGACGGAGGGGAGAACGAGATTTCCCCTTAGAGCCGTTCTTTTTGTGGGCTGGAGGTGGCCCTAGCACAGGATTTTGACCCTTTTGGTTTTCGATGGGGGATGGTACGGAACTGCTTGCTGCAGACGAAGACTGGCTTGTTCTACTCTGCTCAGAGCCAGCAAGGTATCCTTTGTCCAATTCCACAGAGGGAGTTTCACCGTCCCTAGAATCAGGTGGACTCAACGGCTGGCCGGATCGAAGCTGTTGCTCAAGTAGATTCATCTGCTTAACCGCAACATCAAGCCCGACGATCTCATTCGCTTCCACGCCACTCTCATCCTCCCGCCGCATCTGGCGAGCCTCAGAAGACCTCATTTTCTCTCCAGATCCATGCTTCGAAGAGCCGGCGCCACCCAATATCGCACTGACCCCTGTTCCTTCTGCCGGACTTGTAGGAGCACTATTCTCCCTTGAAGTTCTCTTGGAAGACGCGGCGCTCCCTGCCTTTTTTTGTGCCCGGAATTCCTTGTATTCCTGTCCGAATTGCTTATGCTTAGACTTTTCGGCGCTTGGAGGCCGGGTACTCGAAAAGCTCCCCTTCCGCTTATGGATCCACCCACCGCCGTCACCAACGCCAACTGGCGCATCACCATCGGGGCTAGCTGCCTTCTCATCCTCGGGGCTGGCGCTCGCACCTCTTGAATTTATCAATGCCAATTTCCACCCGCCCAGGAAAGAGCTCCTCTCGTTCGGCTTTGTGCTCCCCCGCGGTTTCGGGGGCGGCTCGGAGAACTCTGCACCCTTGAGCTCTGGGGATGATTGAGGTGATGTTTCAGATGATGAGGGTAGTACGATAGGCTCTTCAGCAGTGATCGCATGAAACGACATCGGTTCGGGGGCGACTTCATCAGCCTCCGATTCCCGAACCTCTTGCGGTTCCTCAACCTGCTGGGATTGGGGGGGCAGGACTTGTTGCGACCAACGTGGTGGAACAGGAGCATTTTTAGAAGGTTCCGGCGCACCGGAGAATGAAACCGGCTTGTATTTGCTGCGGCCTGGATAGGTCGGTGATGGCTTCGGTTTTGAATACGGTTCATTGGGATTATCGAAACCGAATCCACCGGATTGAAATGAGGGAAGCGGGGGAAGGATGGGAGATCCATTAGGGGTTCTCCCTCCAACAAGCCTCTGCTGGGCAGGAGTAATCGGCGGTACGTTCGTATCCAATGGCGTAGGAAAACTTTGTGCCTTTATTGGCGGACCCAGACGTAACGTGGGAGGCATATCGGGCTGAGCCTGCTGGAGAAGATTGTTCGGATATTGAGCAGTTCCCAAGTACGAGGGCTGAACCGAGCCAGGAGGTTGAGAAGTTGGAGGTGGAGAAACCGGCATACTGCTACACATATCATAGGAAAAGGCCTTGAAAACTTCCCTCCCATTTTTCTTTAATAGCAAGTTCGGCGGTCTCCGCTGCGTTTGTTGCGGTGGTGGTTCACTCGGGGCAGGTACCAGGCTCCCCCGTCGTTCGGTTTGCCTCGGGGTTTCGGCCGTTGCTACTAGTGAAGTTGACATCGATCTACCGTGCTGCTGCTCATGCAGGTTCCTAGCCATCCTCAACTCTGGAGAACCGGACTCCGGAGGGGTCATCATGCCCGCCGGCTGAGCTGGAAGAGGAGGCCTTGGAGGGAATTCCTCGGGCGACCAGTCTCCCTTGTGTCCATCCCCGGATGGATGGGGAGTTGCGGGACCGGCGAACCAGCCATGTTTGCTGGTGGTGGACCTGCTGGATGATGGTCGGGACTTGGGCAATGAGATGGTAGACGACCCAGCCGACGGTAGCCTCTGGTGACTCGTAGACAGAGAGGGAGAGGGAGGATTACGCCTACGGAGCTTCTTTGGGACCTTCTTTGGCGTGGCCGGCGGGGAAGGGCCCGCAGCAGGGGCCGGGGACGAGCCCGACGAAAGAAGCGGAAGAAGAGAGGGCATCGCTTCCAATGCTAGGATAACGCTCCTTCGAAGGAATGAAAGAAGGAAATTAGGTAGGGGATTAAATTAAAGTGTTTTATTAGATTTTGTTTTTTTCTTTCTTCTTCCTAAAAACGAGAGGAAGGCGGACAGCTCAGGTTGGTGGACGGGTGCCGGGCAGCTGTTAATGATAAGATCGGAGAGGACGGGAAGAGTGCCCAGGACTAGGGCACAATAGAAAGGGGGCGAAAATCGTGGACGAATAGCCGAAGAATACTAAAAAGCCTCCGGTCACGGCAGGAAGTGGCAGACACCAATGAGACAAGATGTCGCGCATATGCGGGGGGCCAGCAGAGGTCGTGAAACCCAGACGAGTAGGGTAAGATGGCAATCGTACTTTGTATGTATGTATGTTGAAGCGAAAGGAGGAAAAGAGCAGGGAGAACCGCGGATCAGATCAACCAACACCGAAGAGTACCGTACAGAGAAGATTAAGGCGAAAGAGAAAGAGAGAGAGAGAGCCCACCACGGGAGTGCCGACCAGGGAGAAGTGTGAAAGGATTCGGGGGGATGGGGGGGAGAAATGCGAGGGGCAGTATGAAGGTGAATAAAATATCGTGTGAGGAAAAAATGAGACCGAACCACAAACGAAGGGACGCCGTGATCTGACTGGCAGATATGCAGCAAGGCAAACAAACAAGCAATCAACGAACAGCTGAAGTCGGGATGTGTCCTGACACCTCTCTTCCCTCCTCCTCCTCCTCTCTTCCTCTATCCCGCGAGAACAAAAAGGAAGGGCCGGATAGCGACGCTAGAAGTGTAAATTAATGGGAGAGCGGGGCGGAAGTGTGTGCTCGCACAAGAAGCCTGTCCCCTCCGCGACCCTGACCTGCTTATAAGTCGGTGGCATGTCTCTCTTTCCGCAGAAGTGTGCTGCTATTATGGATTTATGGGTGCAACCGAGACACTTTAGATCTGGGTTAGGAATGGCTCCATAGGGATGGCCCCCGTTTGTCCCTTTCTTTCTTTAGCAACATCACAGCGACCCGGGAAGGCACTCGCACCCATTCGGCAAAAGGATAGGAGCGCTGGAGTCGGCAGCGGCAGTGGGCCATGCTCTGGCTCTTCACCACATTGTTGTAACCTTATCACGGTACCGGTACTTTCCTCCCCTCCCCCCCCAAAATACACACAGCCGGACAAGGCTTTTCGACCAGGCGAGTGAGCATGATGATGGTGATGATGATGACCACCCTACCGTGTCCTGCTCTATGAGCACCTCGACGATTGACCGTGCCGTACAGTACCGTGTCACAACAACAACGGATCGAGTGAGGGGGGAATGCCGAAATTGGCCCTCCCTTCTCTCCTCCTCTTCCGTTCCTGGCGCATCGCCCGCACACAAGTCTCATGGATAAAGGATTGGTACATGTACGAGTGCCCGGAGAGATGCTTTCGTCAAAGACCGGGATTATCTTGCGGGCCAACCCAAACCACAGTATCCGCTCGTTAACTTTCTACGAGTACCTATACGGAACGGGGGGTATCCTTATTGATTTTGGTCAAAACTTGTGGTGCTGTACCGGTACCTGTACTCGTACTGTACTGTACACCTTGACTGGCCTGTCTGAGGACACGGTCTTCCATTGCTCGACAAGAGCCTACGGTACTTGTAGAGAGAACTGCTCCTTCGATGGACGTATCCAAACGGGAGCTGGGCACCTGGCCAACCCATTACGGCACTGGTGTACCGTATCTCCCCAAAGTTGATCAAGGCAGGACGAAATACCGGTAGTCTACTCGTGCTGTACTGAGTAGAGGTCCTCTCAGCACAGTGTTTCACTGTTTCTCGGGTGTGCCACTTTTACTGAAATTCTAGCCATGCACCGTGCTTGTGCTAGCGCTAATCTTTTTATCCTAGACCCCTAAGTTACAGTAGGCTCATACAAAGCTGGCTCGATTGAGGCGACCATCCAAATGCATCCATCCCATTCATCCCAGGATGTGTAATACGATACGATACCGGTATTGCACGCAGGATGGTAAAGTTCCATCATCATCATCATCACCTGGTACCATCCCCCCCACTCTTCTTCACTTTACCGGCACTTCACTTTACTTCACTTCACTTCACTTCTCCCAGACGTCTCCCCCCTCAAGGTTGAAGCAGATGGAGAGAGCCCCTAACGCACCCCAGTTTCACGACCCTCCTGTGAGCCTCACTCGGTACCACGGAGTGAATAGAAGAATTTTCACAGTATCTCTCCTCTCCAATCCAGCCTTCCCTCCTCCCCTTCCCTTCCCTTCCCTTCTCACCCTCTCGCTTCGATCGGCAAGCCCACTGTGCCATGGGAAGAAGGATGATACCGGTATCCTGTTGGAAATACTGGCTGATGATCTATTTCCATCCACTCATCAACTCCTGCACTCTACCCCTGTCCGTCCCATCTAGGGATGCCACGCCCTGACTCGGGGCTCGAAAAACACCGGCAAGAAACGTACGATACCAACGCCCGACCCCAACACCCATCCCCGGATATTGATCATTGCGTCGATAGAGAATCGATCGGAAAAACAACTCCACAGCCCAATTTCTCAAGGCCGTCGTGTTCCGGTCGAGTGGACGGAGGAAATGTTCTTTGCGGGGGCAGGTCGTCTTGGACTCCCTGCAGGGTTGTTAAGGCAAGATCAAAACCCACAAACATCATGCAAATAGCGCAACAAGGCACTATCAAGTCCTGTCTGGGCCTACCACTTACCTGATTTTGACTAGTCGACGAATCTCTACAAGTAAAAGTTTGCCAAAAAGGACCCAGTCCAGGTGTCCCATTGGTTGGTATCATGCCCTGGACAATTCCAACCCAAAATCCTATTTATATACCAACAACCTGGGCCCCAACCAATGCAAATAGCAAGAGGCGTTTTCGTGCCAGGCAGGGACCACCGCCCTTCAGGCCAACCCAAACCGGCCCTTCGCTCGCCTTCAGGCGAGCCGCAAGCATGATGCCTGCACGGTACGGTACTCACCCAGGCACCCTCATCCCCCCTTGAGCCTCAAACGGGGAACCGCACCGACTAATTAGGTTCCGAGAGTAAAAAAAGTCGTCATTGCAGTGGAACAAGATCCCCTTCCCCCCCCGCCTCTCCCTTCTCCCCCGTTCGATCCAACCCGATAACCGAGGCCGAGACGGGGGAAGCTGTCGCCACCGCACCGTCCGGTCGAGTGACTTTTGCGCCGCTCGTTGTCGCGCTATGTATCGGCATCCTACCTATACTAGTACTTGTTAATGTACGGTACTCGAGTACTGCACCGGTCTCCGAATACCGGTATTCCCCCCTCCCACCCCCGAGCGTTAATCAAGATTGGCAGAAGGGTGCGGTATGCACACACTCCACCGTACAAACTAGCGAATACCGTAATCAAAGTCAGTCTCACGGGGGCTGAAGGCAACAATATCATCACCAGCATCGAACCTCGAAAAAAAGAAGGGGAAGAAAAGAAAAAGGGGAAAAAATGATATCGCCCCATGTCGAATCAGAACTTTCACAGCCCACACCATCTCCACTCCGCTCCGCGGGGTATGATAAGCGGGACGAGATAGGGATAAAGCTGAACGAATATAAACCAGCAAAAAACAACAACCACTCGATTCCCATGTTTCTTCATATCCTGCACCCCTGGCCACCGGACTGTACTCGTACTCGTACTGTGCTAGTCAGCGTTGTGGTGACGGGGTGGTGGCCCCCGGAATCTATTGGCCCGTCACCCATGTTGAAAGGTGATGGGGGTCAGGACCGATCATCGTGACGGGGTGCTGGGGGGGGAAGGGTTAGGGTTAAAATTCTTAATCAGTATCATAAATACCGGTATCATAACTATCACAGCAGGAACTCACAGTGGGGTGCTAAGCCCTTGGTGACTCCCATCACCCCCCGTCACTGACCATGGTCAGGTTCACGACTAGGCACTTGGCGCTGACAGGCCCTCACAAGTTAAATTTACAACACTGGTACTAGTAGTCTAACCCCACCATCAACACATCGCCTATCAATCAATCAACCAATGAATCAATACCGGTACGAGTAAATAAACAAACAAAGAAACAAACGGATAAATAAATATGATAAGTCGAATAAACAACACTTTTCCCCATGCAACAATAACGAGAACAAGCACAAATAAGGATTAAAATTAAAATTAAAATTAAGGAAAGAAAAGAAAAAAAAGTCGGAATCTGACAACGGCTTAACGCCCGTACCTGCGTCCTCTCGATATTGCTGCACGGCACTGAACTGTACATATCCGTGATGCGTTAATATCGGCTGCGGGAGGTCCACGATAATTGCCCGGGGGGGAAATTCTCTTACCCGCATGTATACTGCACAGATTTGCTACTGTGGAATTATTATTATTATTTAAATTTTTTACCTTTTCTTTTTTTCTTTCCCCCCCCCCTGCGGATGTGGTATAATGGGTGAACAGAGTTTTTCTCCGATTCACACTCGGTCACTCGGTTATAGGCGGGGGAAGATATGTAGGGAAAACGGGGCTGGTCTGGTGGAAGCGGATCGCCTGTGGTGTGTTTGGGATCCGTTTGTGGGCAGATCGGCGCTGGCTGAGTTGGCTATGATAGCTAAAACTGCTGGCGGGTGCGAGACCTGCTGCCTGCTAGATTACCCGGGTCTTGACGTGAACGAGTGAGGGAGAGGCCCCCTCTTTTCCATCCTCCATCAAGTTTCCTAACGTCTCTAGAGCTGCATAATGGAGTATCTGTCGCATGTGGTATTCGCAAAGAGAACAGAGAATGGGGAGTCTGGTAGGGATACAAGCAAGTAAATGAGGAAATGAGAAGGGAGGGGGGAAAGAAAGAAAAAAAGAGGACAACTGATGACCGATATACGAGTGACGCGCCATGACAAAAACCACAAACCAGAGAAGCCCGGAAACCGGAAAAGAAGAGAGCAAAAAGGATTCAAACGTGAAAAAGGGCGAATACGATAGCAAGAGATAAGCATCGAGAGCGGTCTAAATAATAATTCCTACAATGGGCGAGGGAAAGAACCGGAAAAACAGCAGCCAAATATCTGATCCGGACTAACGATCATAGAGATCGTATAGCCCGATAGTGGTGTCCCTTTTAGGGTCCATCTCATCACCCCCAAGATCAAGCAGCTTCTCCACAATACCACCGTATTCCTCCCCGCTAGCGATCTTCAACTGATCCTCCCCCTCCAGAACCTTGCTAAGCCTCGCTATCTCATCCCTTGTAAAAGCAAAGCTCATACGGTTACTGGAGTACGCGGGGCCAGGCGCGCCCCCCTCCTCATAGTAGCTACCTATGCTATTAGAGACGGAAACCTTCGGGCAGCAGTCGTTGACAAGTTCCGGTTCGGATCCCGACGCCGATGAGGAGAAGGATGTGGTGCGTTCAATGCTTGGGCGGAGAGAGTTGCGGGAGGAATGGGATTGTTGAGGGAAGAGTGATTTCCTTTGGATAGAGTTGGCCATGTGCACTTTCCTTTCTGAGCCGGGGGCTACGCGGACTATGGAACGGCGGCGGCGGATCGGGGTAGAGGGTTTTTGGGGAGACTTTGTGGTCGCTGTTTGCGCTGTGGGCATTGTTGAGCTAAGGAAGTCCAGGAGGGCCTTTTTCTTGTGTACGGGGGAGGGGGGCCCATTGTTTTTGGCAATTAGAAGCTTGTCAATGCAGTCTGGATACGACATCTCTCCGAAGGGCTCTTCTTCCATGACTGGTGGTGCCCGGGATTGGGGGGTCTTTGCGGAAGGGCGCTTGCGATGGTGTGCCTTTTCTTTGGGCTTTTGGAGTTTGAGGTCTCTCCCGAGGTTCTTTTCGGGCTGCGGCTGACGGGCTCGGTGTTCACGGCCTTTTACTACTTTTTTCTCTTCCACGGTCTCTAGCTTCCTCACCATCTCCTGTCTGAGCTCTTCTTCCACTTTAGTCCTTTCCCGCTCTTTTCCTATTTCCCTCTGGAGCTCCTTGCGCCTCTGCCCGCCTCTCTCTCGTTTTTGCCTCCCCAATTCTCTCTCGACCCCACGCTCAGTATCCCTCCGTTTCCCCATCCTTATCTCGTCTTCTGATTCCCTCAGTTGCTCAATCGGCCTGGCAGAACTGGTCATCAGATATGTAGGAAACTCTTCCACCATCCTCCTAAATACTTCCCTTTGCGCCATAGTGATATTTCTTGGGTAGTTCGAATTGCCTAACTCGATAAAGGGTATTTGTGCAGCGATAGCTTGAATCTCCTCCGATAATTTCATGACAAGATTCAATGCCTCTTCGTGGGCCTTCGCCGCCATGTAGAGTTCTAAGAGCTTATCATCATTCCCATTAGGCCTTGTTGCGAGATATTGAGAAAAGTCTTCTCGTGACGTTTCCACTGAAAGAACTTCCTTCAAGGCCGTTTCCTCGGTGCATTTCTCCTCATCTTGCTGGCTTCGCCCTGCTGGTGGTGATATAGGAGGAGATGGCGCCGCCGGTGGAATGTACTGAATACCAGTCAGGGGATCCCTAATGCGGTCGGGGATATCATCATTTTGGGTAGTTCGTGGCTGAAACGGTACCGGCGTGTGAAGGGCACTTGGCGGAGAAACTGAAACAATGATCGGGGAATTTTTAGGGGTCTCGAGGGCTTTTGGTCCTTTGATTGGTGGATTCCGAGGCTTAGGTTGGGCTTTCTGGATCTTAGGAGCCACTTTCCCCTTGCCGGCGTATAAACCCATCAGTGGGGCTGGGAGATCCACATCTGCGTTCTTCTGCTCAATAACGATAGGGGCTAATCCGGGTGGTCTCGATGGACCTGTCTTCCTGAAAACAAGAGGAGGAGGGGTAGGTCGTTTGGTCCTAACCGGAGCAAGTTTTGGTGATTTAAAGGATCCATTTTTCCCGTGGGTGAATACCGGCCCAGGAAGCGGTGGGGAGGGGTTTGGAGATATGCTAACCTTCCTCTCAAGTTTCTTGACTGTCTCCTCTACCGATCTACGTCGCTCTTGCATCTCCTCAACTCCACAAGGCGCAGATGGCAAAGGCCCTGATGGTGGGCGAGTCGATGGTGGTGAGCGGCTCGTGGACTCGGGAGACTTTTTGTCAATGACCGGGCCGGCAAGATTAGCTGTAGGACTGGGACTGGGTTTTCCTTGCTTGGGTGTTTCTTGCTCGGGATTGGCGTTGCTTTGATTCATATCTGCAAGGGAACGTGCTGTTCCCCCCATCATTTGTCCGACGCCTCCTAGAGCACCCGGCACGTTCTCCTGCAGCCTGGGTGGCGTTAAAAAGCTCCATCGCATCTTATCGATGGGATCGTCAAATATCCCCGGGCTGTCTTCACAGCTGTTCATGGGGCTTACTCCTCCATCGCTATCTTCCATTATGCTTACCGTATGGTCATTCTCACCACCCTCCCCCTCTTCGAGAACATTATCCAGCATCCTTAATGGCGCGATGACCGTTTCCAAGGGCTCGACCGTGGTTCCATCCTCGAGCGCTGGCTCAAATACAAACCCTCGACGTTTATCCCTTTTCTTTTCTAGTTCCCCTTCACCGTTTCCACTGCCTCCGTTGCTTTTCCCTCTATTAGGGACGGCCTTTCGGTGCGGTCTTTCGTGTAACCTTTTCGGCCGTGGCGGCCCAAGCTGTGCTTTTGCTATAGTGCTGCCTTTTCCATTTGTCTCCAAAGTGACCCCCATCTTTGCAAGTGCCTTCACCGTCTTGTCTCCATGATGCAGTACTGGTGGGCCAATCTGCCCGGCGGTGACCTGACGTCTCGTGGCGGCGGGCGCCGGTGCACGGCGAGCGGAGAAGGCTCTCCTGATCGATCGCGAAGTTCGGGAAAAAAGAGGCGCCCGGGTGGTATCTGGAGTGTTTATATGGCTTCCTAGACACATTAGATCGGATTTTGGGATCTCTGTTATGAGGGACAAAGATCGTTTGGGTGTTTGCGGAGGTTGGGGAGGAGGTTTGTGTGTTTGCTGACCCTTCGGGGGGCTTAGGGGGTTCTGGGGAACTGGAGGAATTTCAGGAACAGACGTTTGGTTTGGGATTGGTGGAAGAGGTATTGCTGGAGGAAGCGGTGGTTGAGAAAGCGTCCTGGCCGATTTGGAGTTGGCCATGATGGGTCAGTTTTCTGAGAAGCGAATAGTAAGGGGACAAGTAGAGATGTGGTTCAGATCGACCTAGAGATATGGGCGGTCTGGTCTGGTATCAAATCTCAAATGGGGGAAAAGGAAGATGAGGGATATAGAGGGAGCCTGTCCCCTACATGGAGTGCCAGGTTGTAAGTGGGTAAAAATAATGCGATGATTTAGGCCAGCCAAATATTAATGCCAGAATATCAAATACGACGACGTATTAGAACCGGTGGAAACAGATAGAAAGAGGGGAAAGACTTACGCCAGACTCGGACAAGAACAATATATAAAGCAATTCTCATTAGCTCGGGAAAAGAAGGTCTTTTTCTGGTCTGCTTGTGTCATGAAGCAAACATTCCGGTATCATGGATGCGGGGATGCTTTCACCGACGGCGAGAGAATACGATCCCCGATCCCACCGGCGGAAGTTTGAAGACACATCATCTCTCCGCAGATGAATAATATAAGGGGGAAAAAAATCAAATCAACACCCTGGTCCAAAGGCTCCAATCCCCTACTCCAAAATATGTGTCTTTTATAGAGATACTGTGGCTGTCCTCCGAAGTGGCAATAGCATACATGCGGGGTTGCCAATGCGCGAAACCCGTCTCCCGCCCAGGAATTGAACTTCATATCATGGAAGAAATGTAATACAAACGATCAAGGGAACCCCGCGAGACATGTCTGACAGGCTGCACAGATGTGACCGGGTTTTTATCATGTTGTAGGCTGCAGTGTCAAGTGTTTTCTCTTTCAAGACCGAACCCTTAAATTACGTCCACCTTTTTTGGTATATATGAGCATCACTTGATCCTCAAACTTCCGTGAAAGAGAGCAAGAAGGTGAAACAACACCCCGACTGAAATCAAAACCCCACTTCAAAAGGACTCGCATGAGCAAGAAAAATTGAGAAAACAGCCGTACATCAAACTCCGTGGCTAGAAAAACTACCCACCACAGGATTTCAGGGATTCCCAGCAAGAGCAAGAATAGCAAACCCGGAAACTTTGTGGACAGGTAAGGAAAGAGAGATGACTCAAATCCGGGAGTAAAGCTAGGGTAAGAGTGCGAGCAAGTATAGGAATAGCAAAAACACTGGGTCCGGGACCGATTGTCAAAGCGCCCGTGTTTTATAGGCCTATTGCCGACGTGATCAAGAAATATATCGCACAAAAACACGCGAACTCAGCCCAAGGTGGGGAGACAAAGGCTCGCACCCTCTTAATCCGAGGCGTAAGCTCAAGCCAAATGAAGCGCGTTCGGCTCCTGCCCTGATCACTCACCCACTACCCCCGCGATCCACCCAATAGCCCAAACCAGCAGAATGGCCTTGCGGTTGAGAATATCCCTCTTCTGGGCTCACCCTCTTGAACGGTGGCATGACTCCCATCCGTAGCAACACTGACAACAACAACTCCTTCGTCCCCTTCCCTCTCTTGACTGTATTCGGGTGGATTATTTCCCGCCCCCGCTGCCCCCGAAGGCTCGCCACGCTCGATGTTCCCCATCTCCACCGGTGGCTGTGTCCCTTTGACGACATTATCATACTTTGGCGGTGGCGCTTCGTAAACTGGCAAGGGTTCGATAGCGACCTCTTCATTGGCATTTGGACGCACACGAACCGGCGGAGGCCTTGTATCGAAGAAATAAACCGGCGCAGGCCTAATACAGTGCACATAACCGTCAATTGAATTCGCCTTCCCGTCAACCGTTCGAAGAAATGAATGCCCACCTGAGCATGGAATCCACACGAGCGGCACCCGCCAACTGCCCGGCCGGTATCCCTCTTTCGGCTTGCCCGAGTATCTCCGCTACCTGCTGTTGTTGAGCAATCTTTGCCCTACGCAACAGCACGGAGCGGATACATATGAGCATGAAGATTATTGTGGTTACGATCGCGAGCCTTCACAACCAGAAGAGCTTTTAGTTTGGATGACGTAGCCCGCCAGGCAAGGGGAAGCATTAACCGTACGTGAAAAGGATGTCCTGTGCCATGATTCCTTCGCCTGGCTTTGCTCGGCCCTGTGAGTTGACTTATCAACGGTGTCGGGGAATGGCCGATACTGTAGGACTGTACCAGTACCAGCAGTTGGTCGCTAAGTTAGCGGAAGGGAGAAGGTCCCGATTCCTTGTTTGTCAAGCGAGGTGTTGAGGGTGGGGCGGGGAGCGTGACGGGCGTCGGCTTTATTAGAAGCCTGTTATCAAGGTTGCCTTGCGCCATTATGTGACAAGACACATTTCCAATGCCCGGGTTGAGGGGTGTCATGGCCCCCTCAAGGTGGGTGGGGTAGGTTACCGCGCGAACATGAGAAATCACCCGTTTGTGTATCATAAGAATTTCCCGAAGGTTTAGAGAGCATACTTACTCGTATGATACCATATCCGTAAAGTAATTGAGGGAGGAAACGACAAGAGTCACTATAGTTGTGTGAACGATACCAAAAACCGGGTGGAATGCTGTAATGCTTGATGTACGGTACTGCACGCAGCCATTTTTGTGCGCTCCGTTTCTACTCGAGGCTCTTGTACCGTACTGTACTGTGCTGTGTCGGAAGTGAAATAGCGCCCTAACTGAAGGTCGGTTAGCACTGATACTTTCCCCCGTAAATTACCCGAACGAGCTTCAATACTCGTACAACTTCACGTCAATTCTCCAGGCCAAGCATTTAGTAGATGCCTCAGCTAGGGATCTCCAAACCTCATGATAATACGAGCGGAAGCTACCGCGAGTAAGTATACGGAATGTATGATATTTGAAGATGCATGGATTTGGGTTGTCGCAAGCGTCCTCATCCTGTGCACCTCTCCAGAGCATGTTGTGGCCTAATAGTTAGCCCAAGAGGATGCAGACATCAAAATGTGATACCAAGTATGGCATGATATTGGATCATAATAATTATTATCATACAAGGAACTCGGTCGCAGGAGAGAGAAGGCCCTAATTTACCGGTACTGTACCCTAACATGGACAAAAACGTACCATTCAGTGAGACATACGATAGCTAGCACTCCTCTAGATATAAGGCTGCGGTAACTGGAGGGCAACGGGATGGGTCTTGCAGCGTCATTAGATACCGGTAAATACAGGCGGCACAAAACAGCAACTCTGGGTAAACCTCAACTTCCCCGAACATTTGAAAGCCATGAGAGCCCGAGACCCATCGTCAAGGGGGCTATAAACGGATAATAGCCTATGGTACAAGGACAGGATAGGACAGACACATCCGAAAGGCCCCGAGGCCTTCGTGATAGTTTTGAGCAGGGTCGCGACCAAACCGACGGCAAATGAATTCTGCATTTGAATTCGGCTTTGTGAAGGAAGATCGAGAGGTGTGGATGGGGAAAGAACACAGCCGAGTTGAGAGAATATTGTCCACCCATGGCCGATAACGGGAAAAGTGGATATATATACAGGAGAGCCATCGGGGGAGGAGGTAGCAGTATTGTTATGATGGTCAAACGATGCACCACCCCTCCACGGATAGAAAGAAGGAGGCTTCCGCCCCCCCAACGGACAATTCCACCAATAGGCTTCCACTTAGCCTAAAAAGACGTTCGCTTCTCCAGCACTCGGGTCAGCGGGGTTCTCTGTCCTAGAGCAGTTGGCAACGTTGATGGATGACCGGAACACTAATCGCCAAGTGCATTGCGCCCCTGTATACGAGTAGTTTTACTGGCTTACAGCAGATCTCCGAGGGAGGGAGCAGCGATCACAATTCCCGGCACGATACGTGACTTTGGCATTCTCCACTCGGTTGTGGTATGGGCGAGAGATTTGCCGTGGAGGGTTGGAGAACTCAGAGGCAAGATCACTGGGACAACAAAACATAAAAGGTTCCCGCAGCGCAGCCCTCTTCCTAACCGCCTTGATGCGATCAAGCCATCACTGGTATTCTCACTAGTAGCGTCATATCATCTGGTTTGTGACCCGACTCCTCAATTGTCTTCTATAACTTGAGCAGAGGGTTCCGGATAGACTAGCTAGGTTTTGGCCCGCTGCACTCAGTAACCAACCAAACTCACAGGCAGATATCAGATAAAAATGGCGTCAGCAAAGGATGGGACATCGGCTGGGAGCTTAAAAGCAAACATTGGAGTTTTTACAGACCCCCAACACAACCTCTACATCGCCGATGCCTTACCATCAGTTGAGGAAGTTTGGAAGCCCGAAAGTCTGCAGCCTGGAGAGGCCATAGTTCGGATCAGAAGCACGGGCATTTGTGGGTTTGTGGCTCCCTCTAGGAACAATTATTTCGTCATGAAAAATGACCCTCTCGCAGGTCTGATGTCCACTTCTGGCGCGCGGGGTTCATCGGCCCCATGGTAGTGGAGGGAAAACATATTCTCGGCCATGAAGCTGCTGGAGAGGTGAAGGGTATTGGTTCTGCATATCTCTATCCGTAGCACTAATATTTGGCAGATTCTTTCCGTGCACCCAAGTGTAAAACATCTAAAGCCTGGTGATCGTGTGGCGGTGGAGCCCAATATCCCGTGCCATTCTTGCGAGCCCTGTTTGACCGGTCGGTATAATGGATGTGAACATATTCTCTTCTTATCAACACCACCTGTCCCTGGCCTCCTGCGTCGCTACGTCACTCATCCCGCGAAATGGTGCCACAAGCTTCCACCAAGCATGTCTTATGAGGATGGTGCTCTCCTGGAGCCTCTGTCGGTCGCACTAGCCGCAATCGATCGCTCAAGACTCAAACTGGGCGATTCGGCGATTATATGTGGCGCAGGACCTATCGGCCTAATCACCCTTCTTTGCGCAAAGGCGGCTGGTGCCGAACCAATCCTCATCACTGATATCGATCGGGGCCGCCTTAGTTTTGCGCAGGCACTCGTCGCAGACTCGCCAGGTGTTCTATGCACGTACCTTGTGCAGCGCGGGAGATCCGAAGAGGAATTAGCGGCAGGAATGAAGGAGGCATTGGGGATGGAAGCCGACGTTGTCCTAGAATGCACAGGTGTCGAGAGCTCCATTGGTGCAAGCATTCATGCCGTCCGCTTTGGTGGAACGGTGTTTGTTGTTGGTGTTGGAAAGAGCGAGATGAAATTCCCTTTCATGAGGCTGAGCACCCGGGAGGTCGACATGAAGTTCCAATACCGGTACTGCAACACGTGGCCCAGGGCAATCAGGCTCGTAGACAGCGGGGTCCTATCAAACATCCGCAAGCTAGTCACACACAGGTTCGCCATGGAGGATGCGGTAGAAGCATTTAAGACGAGCGCAGATATTAAGAGTGGGGCTATCAAAGTGCAGATTAAAAACAGTGATTAGGCTGTTGGCGGTGTTGTGGACGCATGGGGGTGTTGTTTATTTAATATTGGGAGCAATGCCGGGGCCATTTCTCCGGATGCATCATTGACATGCATTCTAAGAACCTTTATCCGGGAACGGAGTTTTATGCAAATCTCGCGGCTTGTCAATGAACCCAGCCTTTAGGCGTGAGGTTCCCTTCCTCCCCTTTTACCGTGGCTCGCACGACAAGCCATGATTGTCAGGTACTGCGCTGTATCCAGGTGGGTGCCGATACAAAACCTATCCCTCGAGTCCGCGTTTCGGCTGTAAAATGCCTCGAACCTGATTCAACACCCGGGGACAACATTTACCCCTGAACAGCCCCCCCAAGCGGCGAAGTGCTGTAACATCCATCGAATCCCTGAAATGAGCATGGCATCTTCTCCCTCTGCTACAGTATCATACGTGTGCGATGTATCAGACAGTTTGACGGTACCGTATCACAGAACCAACCTACCGTACCGTAATTCATTACAACTACCGTAAAGGGAAGGGATATATAAAAAATAAAAAATAAAAAATAAAAATAAAAACTCTTGAAATCCACAATCCCGGCAGCAGGGGTTAATCCCTGTCCACTCGCGATAGGCTTACCGGTAGTTTGACAGGCCAACAGAATCGCGAATACATAGCGTTACCGGTTAAAAATGAGGTCCAGCCCGCGATTAAACACTTGGGCTCTACCTGTATAAGCCCAATTCACACCGAATATCACCCATTCCCCTTCCCTGTGGGTGCCCTTGCCCCGCTGAAGTATCCGAATATTCGCCTTTTTTTCTTTGACAATTGCATTGTGCCATCAGCTCATCTCACTACCGTGCTGTACACCTCTGGTACAGTACATACGGTATTTCATGGTGCCGTGCCGGGCACGTTGGCACGGCACAAGGCACTTTCTACAATCACGCTACTTCTAAAGGGAGGTTTTGACTCGGAGATCCGGAGATTAACAAGGCTAGCGGAGATAGTGGGTTTCAAGATGTTTTTTTTTTCTTTTTTCTTTCTTTCTTCTACGGCGCAAGTACCGGTAATTATCATTTCCCGAACGACGGCATAGGGTACTACTTGTATCATACAGTACGGCAATTTAGTGAATGCGGCGGATCAATTGACAGGAATCCTTTCCTCATTCTCGTGCTCTGTATGATACCGTATCACGAGAGCCAAATGCAAACCTGGGTTAGACCCCCTCAAACGACTAAAGGTCCGCAAATATACCATATCAATCGATACGATAATTATAATTGTAGGTAATTATACAAGTCAAGTTATACTACTCCGCGACCCCTAGAATGCGGTACGGTCTACAAACTGCGCGATGCTCCTCTCTCACATCACGAGGTGCAGATTACAAGCTCTCCGCAATCTTCTCCGCGAGGACTTTGTGCACCGGCCACGTGGGGTGCAAGGAGTCCAACCAAAAGTACTCACTGACTTTGATGCCGCATTCGGGGTAGTAGGTGTCCCACTCCGGCGTTCCGCTGCTCTCGTTAACGGCGATTCAGAAGCCCGGAAGGAACCGCAGGGGGGGGGAGGGAGGTTTTATACCCTCTATACCGCCCACAGAATGCCGTTGTGTTCTTGATACCATACCGTTCCGGCCCATCCAAAATCCTGGTAAATACCTCAGCGGTATCAAAAACATCCCCGTGAACATCCGTATGGCTCCTCTTGAACCCACACAATCCATCCTCCAACGCGCGATTATAGCTCTCCAGCGCCTCCCGCTCCGAGGACACTGCCTGGTCCCCTCGTCCGATTGTGAGCGGGCTGCGCTCAATGGGAGGCACATTTAGGAGCAAAAAGTTCCTAGCACCAGCACAGTATAATTCCTCCAGAATGCGGAAGTACTCATCCATCAGGATCCCGTGGAAATTGGCGTAGTCGCCATTCTCGTAGCTGTTCCCGACGTCGTTCACACCAATCCAGACCAGGAAGAGGGAATTTTCGGACTCCCAGGCAGGGGCAGGCGAGGCGGGGGATTCGGGGGAGAGATTTGGGAGGAAGAGGGTCTGGACCTGCTCGGCGAAGGAGAGGACGGTTGGGAGATAGGGCTTCACGAGGGCCGAATTTACGGTTGCACCGCCTGGGGATTGTTAGCGTTTTGCTTATTATACTCGTTTGTTCAGCGGGCTGGGTGGCGGGGAGGGCACCGTAGGCAAAGTTGTAGGCTAATAATTCGGATCTATTGAATGTGGTTGTTAAGTATCCTGCCCAGTTCGGGCCACTGTTTTTTTTGTTAGACTCACTATCATTCAAGCTAAGTAAGAAAAGGATCGCATGCTTCGCAGAAGTGAACCCCGGCCAAGGCGGGTTTCCCATCGGGTTTCCGGAACCTGGTAGTGGCGAGCCATTGGTCAGGTTGAAGCCCGTAGTAGTGTAAGAATCACCACTTCATCCCCGGAAAAATCAGCCACAAGCCCATCAAGTAGTAATGGTAGGATCAACGTACAAGAAGAAAAGGTACTTCAATTTGTCCCACCCGGGATAAACATGTTTACCATTTCTCTCCTCAACCGGAACCGCACCACACAGCGCGGCTACAAAAGCCATTGAAACGATAGACAGCCTGGAAAACATCGCGAGCCGTATATTAACAGTGCGGTGGTGTCTTCTCCACGGCTTGAGACCTTCAGATCTACTTATATCTCTCCAATCCCCCCTTCTCCGCCCAAGTACTTTTTCTCTCCCCGGCACTAACACCGACAAGCAGTCTCATCAAATATACCAACATATCCGCAAGAACAGTGACCTCATCTCGCTAGCACCAAGCTTTCCCGCCACTAGTCAATCTTCCCAGCACCCGTACTCGTACAGTAGAGTACCGGTAGTGGTACTTGTAATACAGCAGCCTGTGGGTTCCGGGGCGGGGGGTGCCTGGCGGGACTACCTGATCAGTAAATTGATCAACCCTCTTTGCCAGAGGCACGATATTAGAAAAGCAGCCCGGCAAACAATCAAGCAAGAACGCAGGGAATGGAAATCGGTAGCCCGCGAAGGGCGCCGCCATTATCAATAGCGCGGCTCTCATTGATTTCTTTCTGCGAGTATCGCAACCAAAATGATGCGCCTTTCGTGGCCTGAAGTGTTTGTTTTCAAGCTACCGCGGCATTGGCAGCATGGCGATAGCGTACGAGTAATGGGGCAATAACTGGAAGGCGTGGGAGAAGGCGGGAAAGGCGGGAAAGGCGGGAAAGGAGAGGGAATGATGGGAGAAGGCTTTGCGGTGTTCCAGCCGGTATGGTTTATTATCCCTTAGTCCGTGGGGTGCCGCGCCCAAGAAATCCGGTGAAGAGAGATCTGGAAAGTATCCTTCTCTGGCCGGCAATAAGTGTACTCGAGTACTGCCGGTACGAGCACAGTACTCGTACCGGTAGTGCTCTTACTGTACTTGTACCGGCACTACCGGTAGGGCTCTAAACTGAGACCCATTCCACCGATCGCTTGGGCGCTCTGGCCACAGACATGCTGCGGTCGGGGCCTTGGCAGGATCAAGGGCGGGGTTAATCAAGGCTGATTCCTGAAAGAGAGCCTTTCCCCGCAATTGGACCTGAGTTTAAAGCCATAGTGTTACACAGATGAAGATGCCTTGTACTCGAGTGCACTTGTATGCGGGCAGCAGTGGGAGGGCGGCCGGGGGATGTCGGTATATTCCGGACCAGGCTTTTTCCTTCCTCTGGCCCTATTGCAGCGAAGCTTCAATTTCAGTTATCACAGCGTGTTTCCGCCGATTTTCTAAGCCCCTTCAGGCCTTCAAAGGAGGGGGGGGTTCATAAAGGCAAGCCCCGGGTAGTCCGTCGGACCAACCCCCCCTCACTGGGCCCTCAGTGCCAACCAAGGGATAAGGTAGTATCGTACGGTAATTTGGCGGCTGGCTGAGGGGCAGAAAGTGCTGTTTGGGGGGCCGGGAGGTTGTGTGGGGAGGTCATTGCCGCCCTGTTTCTGCCGAGAAACTGGCTGTGCATAAAGCATCCTCCGCCTTTGTTTGTTTCATGCTAGCCAAGGCTCGCTTACCGTATGTTGCACACCCCCGGGCGCAGAGACTGGATTCGACCTCTACGGCACCGAAATTACTCCAAGACACCAGCGTTCCTCTCCCTCAAGCGATCAATATTCTTCCGGAGGAATGGGAATGGGGAATGGGCATCTCTGATCTGACAGTATTTGGCTCCGAACTCGGCCTAGCCGGGGGCTTGGTACTTATCGGTATCTCTCCATACTTGGCAGGAACTGCCCCCGATTACCGGTAACTTGTCGTGGAAAGCCTGCCACGCTGTTGTTGATGGGTGACCCAACATTTGGGGACTGGTGTCCTAAAACATGAGCAGGATACCGGCATGCAGAATTTAGAAAGAAAGGAGAAAAACACTCATGAGTTGTGCTTTCTGAGGGAACCCGTTTGTACCTGTAGTTGAGGTCTTTTTCTTTCCCCCCTTCTACCTTATACTATGGTCCGTCTCTGCATCCAAGCGACCGGCGGGACAAATTAGGCCTTGTTTGGCAGGACGTCATTTAAAAAAAATGTTGTTTTTCCTGAAAACTTTATTTTTGCTAAAACTCAAATCCCTTTGACCAGAGAGTATGAAAAAAAATGGATATCTAGCCTTTCTGACCATGTGATGAAAATAGCCAAAAGAGTGGGATTTTAAACAGATTCAATTGCGTCAGAAAAAAAAATGCCAATACCAGCCGGAAAAATGCCATTTTTCTTTCTCGCCCGCCAGCCAGGGCCTTAAGCTCTCAGTTTGAAAAACTCTGGTAATTTATTACCCATCAGGGAAGGACGCTTCCCAGATCTCATTTTTTGTATAATATCATAAGTCATCTCGTGTGTAGCACGTAACAGGATAGGGGAACTTTTGAAAGAATTATAAGCAGCTCTAATACCACCCACCCACCAGCTGAAGAAAACTAGGAAATCTATATGAAGAAGGTATCACAAACAAAGACCCGGTCCTAGCACCTGGAAACTCCCACACGGGTACCTTGGTAAGCATACCCGAGTAGTCGCCGAGCTTATTGTATGAGCGCCACCAAAGGAAACAGCGAGAAAAGAACAAAAAAAAACGAAATGAGAAAGCGATGGGGGTTCGGGTGACCGCACTGCGTTAACTAGAGACACCGGAAACGGAGCGGAGGATGTGGCCCGATAGGCAAACTAGGTTTGTAAAAAAGCTGCTCATGGCTAGGTTTTTACAATAACCTGATGTCGGGCGCCGTCCCTGGTGAAGCCTTTGGGTAAGAAATAAAAGCGCAAAAAGAAAAACAGAAAAAATGACTCAATCAGCGCCGCTTTCTGTCCAGACGCTTATCCACAGCACCCATAACAACTTTCAGGATACCGTCAGCCGTAAGCCCATTCCCCTCGTTCATCTTTTTCCAGCTAATGGTATCGACCATGTCGCGAACGTTGTGCTCCTCCACAAGTGCATTGTCAAGCTCGTCCAAGCTCTCCGTAGCAGCCTCGTCGCTCCCCACCTGAAAAAACTGAACGCCAACTTGTCTATCGTTTGCCCCCATAGCGTCCAGTTCCCTCGCGCACTTTACGATGTTCTTCTCAAGTCTGTCCGGATCCGTGGGCTCTCCGTCGGTGATCACGATGACGTTGAGCGGCTTGATCCCCTTATTCCTCCTGAATCGCTTCAAGTATTCGTCCAGTATGACGCCGAGCCTCCGCCCGGTGGGTGTGATCCCTCGTGGGGTCACGGAGGCGAAGATGAGTTGCAATTGCTCCGAGCTGCGTACATTTGTGTGCGAGCTGTTGTGATTTAGAAAGTGGATGTCCACGCCGTCCGAGTCATGCGCCGTACAGATGGGCACAATAGCTGCTAGTGCCGATGCAGTTTGCTGCCAATTAGAGCCGGCCATGGAGCCGCTGTCGTCTATGAGGAAGACCGTATCGAATCTACTGAGCCCCGCGTATTGTTCGGCGGTGGGTGAGGTGTCGGAGAAGGTCCCACGTCTGATAATGGGTGCCGGGGTTAGAAGTGCGGATTCGTAGGTTGGTGGTGGTGGAGCGATATTTGGATCGTTTGAGGGTGGGGATTTTCGCGGGGGGGTAGATAATCCAGCAGATGGGAACTGTGAAACGGGGTCCTGGAATGGGTTCGACTTCCCATCATCGAGAAAGCTCCTGCTGAAGGAGGGTTGTCCTTGTTGGTTGCGACGATTCAACTTTTTTTTCAAGAAGTCCATTGTGATGTTGGTGACCGGTGTTATTGTTTGTTGCGATGTTAGGTTGGGAGTGTGGGGCGTGCCGGGGTTATATAACTGTCCAGGTTGTTCAAGCTACGAGACAAGTGCTCCGTTTCCGGTTGCTTGCACACCTCGGCAGCGAAAGCAGAAGGGATCAGCCGATCCGACCGGTTGCAACAGCAACGAGTGCGCCTACTGGCACTCTTTCAAGGGGCGCACTATTTTTCATTTCAACCTTACTCACACAGCAAATTTTGAACACTGCCGGCGACAGGATAGTCGCTGAGGAAACCACCCTAACTCTAGCAGTTCGCAGAACCCCCCACCCCCCCATTGCCGGTACTTGTACCAGTATTGCGGCAAAGGCATTGACAGGACCAAGGGGGGGGGTTCACCAAATGGCCCATCGAAGGCGGAGGGGGGGGAGCGCCAAGGCTGATTCCAGGCGAATTTCTTGGTTTCTTTCTTTTTTTCTTCTTGCAGCTCTCTCCGCATCATTTACGAGCAGCGTGGATTCGCCCTCCCTCGCGGTTGGGCCCGGGTCTCGGGCGGCGGTACGGGTCAAGACGGGCGGGAGCGGTCTCGCGATGACCCGGGGGGGTACCGTATATCCTCAAAAGCCCCGCAAAAGCACAAATTCTTGACGCCAAAGCACCCGGATATCTTGAAATTCGTGAATAATGACGTTTCGATTTAGTTATCATACGATACTCGAGTAGTGTGTTTTTGCAGATCCCCTGCACCCTTCAGGCCTTTGGAAGGGGACTCGTAAACGCGGGCCTCGGGATCTTGGCTGATTTATCACCAACCCTGATGCCCCTAATAACATACCGTAGCACTACTCAGTTTATGATATGATACAAGTAATATTATGATGCGGATCCGCATATCCTAACCCTAACCCCTCAAGCCTACCGTACCATTCGGTAATAATCATCATAGACTTCTATTGAATTTTGTATTTTTTTCACCAAAGGGTTATCTTTTTATGATAACCTAAACTGCCAAAATGAACCCTATGGTGCTAGTAGTAAGGCTCGTTGTCTAAAGCTCCCCCGGCCCGCATACAGACGCTCCGAAAAGGATCGGTATCACTTCGATAGCAGCACCCTCGCACATCCCGAAAAGAAGGGGAACCACCAAGCACTCTATGTTAGAGAAGAAATCTCGAGGCACCCGATATCTCCCACGAGTAAAGCGAACTGCAAACCTTATTCACGTTGGCATGTCTTTGGGCAAAGAAAGCGCTATAACACTGGAACCAGTTGAACATTCCGAAGTCTGTCTCCGACAACCCTTGTGTTGTGTTGTGCCTGAATACGAACCCGGAACCACCTCCACGCTTGGGAGCCCCCGCACAGCCCTGTCCCTGGAATATCTGACAACAGCGTTATCTACAATTTGGCTATCTTTGGAGAGTAGCACGATTTGGGTATAGTTCTACTTGAGGAACCAGACCACCATCTTAGAAGCGGTGGTAATTCCTAGCCAACATCTGTTCCCACCACTAACATCTCAAGCCAACAGCACTAGAGCTCGTATAAATTACCCGAGTACTGGGGTGGCACCAATTCAGCCCTCAAGGCATTCTTCTATCAATAACGAACTACCATAGTTACTGTGCTTCCACAGCGTATCTGTGCCATTCTGGAAGTAGCGCTTTGGTGGCCGGCAGTGCCCCGGCATCTATCACATTAGTATGTCCTGCTGTTCACTTCTTTGATGCTCCCAGGCTCATCTGATACCCGATACCACCCCTTGTTATCCTACCAAATCTCTTTCCTCAATATCTCTGCCTACCGGTACATTGCTACCGATGCACGGCCGTTAGGGAGACGTTGGGGGTGCCCTTATTGCATATCACGCCTGGTGCATATAAACCCCCACAAGGTGCGATCCTAGGCTCACTCGGAACAGCGCACCCATCGTGAAGCTATAGACTACCCCGCCATCTTCCTGAAACAGCCAACTGACAAATCTCTTGAGAGCTGGTCAGAGACACATCCCTGTCGAAATCCTGCCGGGGGGCATTTTAAAGCGTTCGAGCATGAGACGTGCAGTGAAGAGGAATCCCTCAAAAGCACAAGGAGTTTTTAGGTTGTCTATAGGGATGCAGCAGGGCAAGTTTACTCGAGTAGATGTGAGTAGATGTGCTTTTGCTAAACCCTAGGAACCCTGTGGGCCCTAGCGCGATAGCTTAATGGTATGTCTGACAGTTCATTAGCAGCCATTTGAAAAAGTATCATATCAGAGATTCACCAACGATTTTTCACCGATATCCCAATTCATGGTACCCGTGCCGTGCAATTATCCGGTGCCTGAGACTTAGCCACTCCAGCACTCACATCTACCGTGCCAGAGGAGATACGGTACTGGTCGGAGGGGAAGTGTGCAGCCCCCTCGCCACAGAGCCCAATAGCTTGCGGATGTTGAATCAATAGTGGTTCAGCGCCCCTAGGCAATCTAGACCGCTGCCTTCTGCCAATTTAAAAAAAAAAAAGACGGAGGGGAGGAGAGCCTTCACACTTCCACTCCACGCCTTCTGGAACCATGATATGATAGTCGCCAGTACAGCCACAACCCTTCACAATTCTGTATGGCAATCACTGATACTTCATAAAGTTCTACAGTACGAGCAGTTAGCAGAGCGTTTGCTCATTACGCCTTAGCACCCAGCTAGTCACATTTGCTCGAGTAGCCATCACAGATACCGGCCTTAGCGGCAAGCCACCAAAGAGGAGCTCTCGGATCACCCTCCACGTGTAGGGTTGTGAGTTGGCTTGGTTCATTGAGTCCATCATATCGGGACTAGCGAATTAGGACTAAGAGTAATAGAACCAATGAGAGGCGAGAATTCTCTATACTCGTGTACTACCGGTAGTAGCCACACGAGGGGTAAACACGGGGAAATAGTTGGCCAGGCCCTCAAACAAGCGCTTATTCCACTATTACGAAATGATATAATACGCTGGCCAGTCCTCGAGCACGGAATGTCTTTTAGCTGGCACTTAAAGGTACTGCGCTTTACGACACTAGGCACTGCATACTGTCTCGTGACTTCCTAGCTCAACCAGGTGGTTCCAGCAAGTGAAGGGCCACCGCCAAGCAATGTCGGCCTGGAAGTGTGGCTCTAAGCCTAGAGAACGTCTAGAACATGGTGGAGCGATCTATCATGCTGGTATGATCCGCGGCCATCAATATGGTACCTTGGCCGTGTTGCTGTCATACCCGCACCTGGGGCACTCAAGCCTCAACAGTCAATAGTCATAGCACCTACTGCGCTTTCCCTGTCGACCTATTGAAAATATACATAGGGTAATATCAAGTCTGTGGGTGTGATGTGCCGCCGACGAGCCTTGTGACCACAGTTTTGAAATTAGAAAAAGGAAATATCCTCGTGTTCAATTCTCGCCCTCACCAATTTCGTTTTCAAAAATATTGTTGAGGATTTAGCAAACTCACCCATAGGGTGCACACACATGTCCATAAAGAACTCGAATAATTGGCACTCGTGCTAGGACGTTGGACTTGCCTTTACTGGCATGGTCCGGCACGTTTCAGTCTTAAGCTGGGGCTTAGGGAGGACTCATCTTTCCCGGTGTTCTGGCTTCCTATCCGAGAGAGGGAATTTCGGACGCCTTAGCCCGAGTGCCAATTATTCGAGTTTCTTAATGCGCGGTAAGTCGGCCGGAGTGGCGACTTGAAATTCGCACTCACCGCATAGAAAAATCAAGAGTGGGTTCGATATGTCGCGGCGACCCGGATCCAAGGTGGCGTTATTCCTGCCACCTGAAATCGCCTGCCGAGCCGCAAGAAAACGGATGATCCCGAACCGTTGGGTCGGGGATCGCATCCTGGCCAAACAAGGCTGTTGCCATTACTATTATGATGGTGTTATGAGGCTAGTATGATAATATGATTATTATTAAGTTACCGGTAACTGAAAACTTGAATCGCCGAACGCCACATAAGTGGCGAACGACTCCAGAATACCAAGTCCGAAAAGCCCATTCGCCTTAGCGTGACAAACCACGAATTGTAGAAAACACTAGAACAGTGGCGCACATACTACTCGAGTAATAGGAGCACCCTATGATATGGCATGATAACGGTATCCGGCGGGACCCATGCGCGCAACCCTAGCCCTTTAACCCAACCGAGCTTATCTCCCGGAAATTTACCGCTTCTGGTATTGCATCATACAAGCACCACCCAACTATGATCTCATCAATACCGGTAAACCACTCCGCCGACAATCCGTAAAAGGCAGAAATCGGGAGCGCCCTGAGAATAAGTTCACAAAATGTGAGTTTCCTTTTTGTTATCAAATTGTGTTCATAGGGTTGGTGTGGGCACCCTGCACAGCCTCTCCACACCACAGCCGTTCCGTTGCTGTGGATCGGTTGCTATCGAGCACAGGCGTCGCACGGCGGCGGTGCTCGCGCGCAGCCCGCAACCATCCAGAAAATTCTTAAGAACTCCTTTGAGCTTTAAAGGTGTCGGGCGAGATAACTGAGCGGTAAGTCACCTGATTTTTAATCTCCCTATCACATTATCTTGTCATCTGATATGCTAACTCCGCCCAGTGCATTGTACCCGCACTTAAGGGGAGGCACTAGATAGTCCCGCAGCGGGAACTGCCCCATCGGACTGGAACTGGACCTTGAGGTTCGCCTCGCAATACATCATGGGATCGAGGGGGGAGGTGGGTTCTCCACTCTAGAGTGCTTTTCTGCCTGCAGACGGCTTGGGATATCACAGGTTGGAGGAATTGGTTCCGTGATCCTGATAAGAATCCGCGAGATTTCTGCGTTAGGGACGCGGGAAGTGGGGTGAAAGAGGCAATTGACCTTGCGGGAGATTAGTTATTTCGAGGAGTCATGGCCTGCTGAAAATGGTAGCCAATTGCGAGGTTCAGCACGAGTGATTACTCGTGAGAAGACTCTCAGTAACTGGGAGTTTCCGTCCCCCAGGCTCAGCTATGCTCGAATAGCTGTATCATATCATAGTGGAAAATAGCAGGCGCAACAGGCACAGCGTAGGCGCAAATTTCCTACGATTTGGTTACTGCTGTTTTCCCTTACTTTGTGGCGAAGACGATACCAAGTGACTGCCCTAAAAACTCAATTACCCAAATGGATGGATGTAAAAGCCGTGTCGGGTGCTGTGATATATCGCGTCGGCAGCTGTGTCGGGCCACATGGGTACGCCCGCGGGGTGGATTTGAGCACAAGGCTGTATCGACGGCCTACGGTACGAATACCAGTGTGGTAAGTTTGTGCCCGGACTCAAATATACTCGATCTGCGTACA